CAGGCTGAGAATGCCTGTGGGTATACCACAAATCCACTTACCTTGTCCTAGCGCATCTTCAGGAGGGCAGTTCTGCATAGGCCAACTTTTTGCAGAGTACACTGGTTCCTATGCACACTTAGTCAGGCTCAAGCCTCCCGGGTCCCCTCCAGGAGTTCCAGGCTTTTGTGTTCTGTACTTTCAAGGCTTCTCTACTGAGTGCTGTACTGCGTCTTCCTGCCAAGTACTACAATGGGCAGGATACTGCTGCTCTTCCTCCCTGGCTGCCACGTCTCCTCTGCAGACCCTGATTGCTAATTTCTGCTCTGTCCTTGTATTTCAGTTGAGAGGTCAGGACAGGAGTTTCCCCTTTTCATTGGAAGCAAGGTACATAGCGGCCAGGCTAGGGTTCAACTCCTTTGCCCTGCTGTCAGGCTCCAGTCACCTACCATCTCATGGTACTCCATGCTGACCCCTCTCCCTCTGCTCCTCACTTGTGGGCCCCATGCTTCCCAACCCACCAAGATAGACTGGCCTTCCTGGAAGGCAGATTCCACTTGGAGCTTCTAGCCACAGCTGTGTATGGGCTCCCTGTCCTGTGCACACAGGAGAGTGAAGAATAAGGTTGTAGCGTACGCTAAAGGATGAATCAGTCCGTGATGGTAAGATTTCTTTATTCAAGAAAGCACCAGGGTAAAACACAGGCCAGAGCGAGGTTACAGGAACTCAACAAGCGCAGCCAGAAAAAGAGGGCCAGGGTCCCCACGTGCAGCCCTTAAGAAGCTCCCTTACATCACCCCAGCTTTCCTTCACCACGCCATTATGGGCGAGTCCCGGGTCCACCTGGTACCTGTCCCAGGACTATTGGGCGGGGCTAGGGTGTCTCCCTACAATTCCCCGTTTAGTCTAAAAGAGGATTAAAACTTAATAGTGTAAAATATCCAAAACTAACAATCATAAAGGTGAAATACAAGAAGATACAATAATCTGCTATGACACATCCTATGTCTATTCCAGCTAAGTCTTAAAGTCATGTGGAAAAGGTGTCTAACTTGAACACCTCCTTCCAATCCAACTCTAAACAATAAGAAGGTCATTCTTAACTAGGCTTACTCTACCCTAATAAACAATAATGGGGAACGGGGGCGTAGCATCTTCTAGGTTACTTCCTGCTGAAATGGGACGATGGTAGTCATGTGGGGGTCCTGTGGAAAAAAAATGCTAGTACAGGGAAAGTCTCTAGTGAGTTATATCTAGTCCATGTTAGATGAGATTTGTTTGATTGAAGATCTACATTGAAATCCTCAACTTGATTGAAGTCATTACTCGAGGTGCTGGTTGGAGTGTCAGTCAAAACGGAGTGAGTTGAGTCCAGTGCAGTCGGGGAGGTGTAGTCCAATTCTTTTTCAGGAGCATGTAGGGATTGCTGTCAGGCTGGTTCTTGTTGGCTGTATGGGACTCAAACATAAGTGTCATCAGAGAAATGTTCGCTTGTTCATGTATGTGTACCGGGAAAGGCAAACCTTGACGAACAAAGATTATGAG